ATAATAGAATTCCTTGCAATAAATTTGAGATTACGGGCAAGTCCTTACGATAGTCAAGACAGAGATATTTAATTATTAGTGCAGAGGAAAATGGGAAACGTTGCTTTTGGCTAAATGTTTTAGTACATTTCAAAGTGGACACTTTGGGGCTGATCCTCCTAAGTCAAAAAGTGTACTTGCACAAAATGGGACCATTTGATATGTATTTTCACTTTAGTTTCCCTGTTAAACAAGACAGTGGAGGCTTTCAAGTCTTATTCACTCTCCAACGTTTATTAAGGAGTAATCCAAGTCAGCACATCCATTTCTTTGATATGAAATTGTAGCAAGAGCAACAGTAATAATTAATTTTTGCTCTTGTTCAACACCAAAGTTTTGTCTCCATTGGATAAGTGTTGATTGCATTAGGAAGGAAGCTACTTTTTACAAACTTCCTTACCCATGTTGTTCCACAGCCTAGAGATTTCTTTCTTCTCACCTATCGAAATGCCATTCACTTTCTACACAACTTCTTTGAAGATCAGACCTAAGGTTCCAAATTGTATATGGAGATTTACCTTCTGCTTTTCTCTTTAAAAAGCCCACATTTGACTTTCTGAATCAATTTCGAAAGTTTCTCAGAGGAGGAGAAGGTTTTTGCTTGGCATCAGATTCACTTCCTCTCACTGTGCGTCTTGCACAATAATAGACAGCTGTGTCCTCTGGTTTAAGATTGTTCATTTGAAGATAGATCTGGCTGCGGGAATCATCCCTGGAGATGGTGAAGCGTCCCTTGACTTTGTCTGAGTAGTAAATTGGAGTTGAGTATGTACTTATGTAGGCCACCCATTCCAGGCCTTTTCCTGGATACTGTCTCACCCAGCTCATGGCATAGTCGCTGAAGGTGAATCCAGAGGCTTGGCAGGAGAGACGGAGGGAATCTCCAGGTCTTTTCACATCCCCTCCAGACTCCACCAGCTGGACTTGAGACGGGACTCCTAAAAACAAAAGTGATCCAGTGAAATATTCTATATATAAACATTAAAAAATGAAATTAATTCTTTAAACTGGGAAAAATACCTTGAAGGAACACTAACAAGGACAACAAATTCAGCCATGGGATCATTTTGGCTCCCTTTAATGAATGGAGGGAATTGAGAGAAAAGAATTAAGGAAAGAGCACAAACTTTGTGTGGGTGGGTGTAGCCTGAAAAGAGAAATCAAGTGGATCCTTTAAAGGTGAAATTTTGACTTCATTTACATATCGCTTCAGATAAAAGGGCCACTCAGTACATTAATCTCATAGTTTTCCTTGTCTTTACATGGGGGACTATCACAAAATATTCCAGTCTTCATAACCGTGAAACTATTTCTTTCTTTTCTCTTACTGTAAATTCAAAGCAGAAATGGCATGTTTATATTAGAGGAATTAAAATGTAGACTTGCAAAATTTCACCACTTCTCCAAAGTGATTCAAAGGGAGAGGTAAGGAACATGCAATTATAATTTTTGGAAGGGCTACTCTGGAGAAGAGCTTGAAGGAAAAGTCACATCTATCTTCAGTTTTCAATGAATCATTATGGAATTAAGAATAAACTAATCATATCTCAGAAATGAGACAATTTCTAATGACATCTGTTTTATTCTCTCCCCATCCCCCACTGAGTGCAGAGGAGTTTCAATTGACAACACTGCCAGCCAGTGTCCAACGTGAGGAGGGGGGGGGGGCATCTTCCTAATATTTCCTCAATATCTATATGGCAGTTTGGATATTTAGAAAGATTATGCTATAGTTTCATTTCCTCTTTTCTACCATGATAGTAATGGACTATTTTTAATTCCATTTTTTTTTCTAAAACCACATTAATTTGTAAACAGTGATGTTAAAACAAACTATTTTTTTCCACTTTCATTTTCTTCAAACAAACTCTCTCA